AAGCGGGGAAAGTTACTAAAGTTACCATAAGGTGGAAAACGAGCATACGGCCATTTGAATTCGCCGAAATGGCGAATGCTGGCTACAGACATCTGTTGTTCCATATATGTTGCCTAGTTTTACTTGATAGGCGAGGGGACGCAGAAAGAGGATAATTACCCTTCTTATGCGTTCATATTCACATCAAAACTACCCTTTGATACGAAAATGTGTTTATTTAAAACATTATATTAGAGCCTTTTTTATGAGCATATTAGCTTTCGCCCGCGACTCCGTTCGCGTGGACTTAATAAATCCAAAGCGAGTAGCCTATGTGTACCAGAATCTTTACATCTTTACCAAAATTTCATCGATATCCGTTCAACATATATCCATACAAACATTTGCATTTATAATATTAGTATGATTATACACTAGTTTTCGCCTGCTACTCCGTCTGTGTGGACTTAAAAAATCAAAAATAGGTAGCCTATGTGTTCTTCCAGTTCTCTACATCTATGACTCACATCGAGTTCAGTTTAAGCTATTAATTCTAACATCCATCCATCTAAATTTCCCTTATAATGTTAGTAATATTGATATATTGTTTAGGATATCAAATTTAATGCGTGCTTTGGGTACTGAGGCGGTGCAAGACCCGACCGCCATCGAGGCGAAAGTTCGAGAACAAATTGCCAAGCGTCAGAAAACCCATCAAGATGCAAATAAAGCGAGAGCTCTTACTAAAGAACAGAAGAGAGAGAAGGTATGCGATTTTTAACTCTATTTTTCCAATTCTTAAGAACTACATAATATATATGTGAAGTATTTTTCACATTATCCCCGCTAATTTAATAAAATAATGGAAAAAAGAAAAGAACAAAAATGAAAAAAAGAAAAAAAACAGAAGATATAAACTGAGCATAAAAGAGTACGGACCAAGAGTCTGTAGATGTCGATAAAAAAACAAAAAAAAAACATAAATCGTTTGCTTATTGTCTCGTTTTAATTATTTTTAAATCCCATTTCAGATTGACAGGAAGATAAGAGAAGATACGTCGATGGGAGTCCACGTGGCTGTCTATAGGTGAGATAGCTGTCTAGTCCTTTTTACCTTATCCATAAGGTGATACGAGCAAGGCCACTTGAATTCGCCAGAATGGCGAAGCGACTGCTTACACATCCAGAATTGCAGATGCATTCCCTTAATCAACGGAGGACACGCCCTCAAAGCGGATATTTCCCCTTCTTATATGTATCTTCCCTTTTCATCCTTTCCTTATAATAAACTAGCTGTTGCTCACGATTATGCCCGCGTGAAATTAAACAATAATAAAAATATGTTACTCACAGATAAATTACCTTTCTAACGGTGAAAGAATTTTTAAAATCTCCCCAGTAGTTTTTGAGTTATTCCATACAAAAATACAAATCTTTCCTCTTCATAAATAATCTTTATAGTAAATCTATACTGTAAAGAGGGAACATTTGAATTTTTAAATTTTCGTATTTTTGTATGTATTAAAATAACTCAAAAACTACAGGGGTATGTCCAAAAATTCACCATTAGAAAGCTATTATCGCTGAATATAGGCTATGTTTTTCCTGTGGACGATATCGAACAAACAATTAGTGTATACTATTATACTATATATATATTTATATTATAAAAAGGAAAACTTTTGTTAGCTTGTATTGAATAGGCTCAAAAACTACTGGGACAATTTTAATAAATCCTTCACCGTCAAAGTCAATTTATCTGTAAGTAACACAGGCAAAAATGTTTTTTTAATCCCAAGCGGACGGTGTCGCGGGCAACAGCTAGTACTTAATAAAAACCTATATTTCAGAGTGAAGGATTTATTTGAATGTGCGTCAGCTAAGTTCAAAGTGGAGGTGAACGCGAAGCAGCTGCACATGACGGGCTGCGTGCTGCTGCACCGCGGCTGCTGCCTCGTCGTCGTAGAAGGAGGACCCAAACAGCACGATAAGTATAAGAGGTGAGAAAGGGATAGAGATAGAAATGACAGAAATATAGAGAAAAAAGAGAGGGAGAAAGGTAGAGAGTGAGAAATACGATAAGTGTAAGAAGTGAATGATAGAGAATACAGAAATACGGAGTGATGAAGGAGAAAAGAGATTCGGTAAGTATAAGAAGTAACAAAGGACAGAGGATATGACAGAAATATGGAGAAGAGTGAAGGAGAACGGTAGAGAGTTAGGAATGCGTGCAAGAATTCGGAGATAGAGAGGGAAAATAGAAGTGATAGATATAGATAGGCGAAGCGGTGAGGGAGAAAAGAGATAGGTACAGGAGGTGAGAGAGGAGGATAGAGATGGATAGAGAGAAAAGAAATTCCGGTAAGTTTAAGAGGCGAGTGATAGAGAAATACCAAGCAGGGAGGGAGAAAAAAGAGGAGTACAGGTGAGAGAGAAGGACGGAGATAGAGAGCGATATATAGAGAAAGAAATTCGATAAGTAACAGGGGAGTAAGGGATAGAAATAGAAGTGACAGAAATATGGAGAAAAAAGTAAAGGCGAACGGTAGAGTGTTAGAAATACGAGAATTACAAGAGTTCAAAGATAGAGAGGGAGACGAGGGTTAGGGAGAAAGGAAACTGTCTCCCTCACCTAACTTAGTGTAAATGGTATATTTTGGTCATATTCAGGCTGATGCTGTCCCGCATCAAGTGGGAAGAGGACGTGGTGAAGGATACGGATGGAGTGGAGGTACCCAACTCCTGCCAGCTGGTGTGGGAGGGAGTTACCAAGCACCGCGCCTTCGGGGAGATTAAATTCAAGGTAAACAGTTTTATAGCATAAAATAGCAATAGAATAAGTATATTTGGATTCGCCAAAATGGCGAAAAGACCACTGGGTACAAATGTCTGGCAAATTGCTTACTCCAAATCGATGAAGGATGCATAGAAAGAGGAAATTTTCTATTACTAAGTCCCCTCCTCTGTCAAATTTCTCTTCCCCATGTTTACTACCTAATTTCGCTTTTTACCATTTTACTAATTTAAATTAGCTTGTACTATCCAATTTAAATAAGAAAATACTGTTGAATAAATGTAGGTAACTCATCTGTAAATGCATATCTGGGCGCGATCGCTTCGCTATTTTGGCGAATTCAAGTAGATATTAGCTTTAGTACTTTATATTAAAATAATCTAAAGCAGAAATACCCGACTGAAAATATTAAAAATGAATAAAAAGGTGATTTGAACTTGGATTTTGAACTTTTTTTTTAGATTTTTTAAACTCACGGCCACTGTAGGTGTTTTGTGCCAATTTAATATATCCTATGACACTCTGGAGAAGAAGACGAATAAAATGACATTTCATTCGTCAAAATCGGTTCACTACTTTAGGCTACAAGCTATTACAAACATACATACACAAAACTCCATAAAAACACACGACAAACCCTTTTTATCAGTTGTAAAAATATAATTAAATTTGTACAGGTGATGCCGACAGAAAAACAGGCCAGAGAACATTTCCAGAAACACGGGGTTGAACATTATTGGGACCTAGCTTATAGCGGTGCGGTACTAGGTACTGCTGTCGACCAACCCTAGCTGACCCCTATCCGCAACGATATAACTAGAAAACAGGGGTCCAATTAACAAACGTATAGACCAGTTTAAGTTGACCTCTGTATGTAGCTTGTATTGAACCATGACTAGTTCTACACTAGATTGGGCGATGTGAATTTAAACGTCAGTATAGATGTATTAAGGAATATATATTTTTAAAGTTTTTTGTATTTTTTTTAACCATAAATCCCTGAATAATGTTGTAAATGAAACCTATTTTATGTAAGAGGTTGCTTTGTAAGACTGGCTGTCTAGGATAATTTAAATCTGACATATGTTCTATGTTCAATTAAGTTGTTCGAAATAGAGAGAAGAACAATGTTATGTTGAGTGAAAAAATATGTCTTATTTTTATATACTGTTAGGAACAAAATTAGTACCGTGCTGTAGAGTTGGCGCAACTCTAGATTACGGCATAAACGTCACGTCCCTAGCTGACAGCTGTCAATGTCACTACAAGTATGGATAGATTTGGCGCGCATTCTAAGTCCTGACGAGAAGTGTTGCTCTGAGTTTAAAGCGACAGTATCAATTAAATAAGTTGTCTAAAAATACACATGTATTAATGTTAATTTAAATGTAAATAAACATTATTTATTTTATCATTTGTGTGCTGGCTGAAGCAAATTCCTATAAAATACATTAATGTTTTACAACGCAGTCTTGTGGTTATTGTCTCATCGGAGTTAAGAAAGTAATTTAGAGCGCGCACATTACAAACTATCTCACAACTGTTTCCTTTTGATTGCTATAGGCTTATATTGAGGTGCAAAACTCGATTTTTAGTTGTGCAACTAAGTTGAAGGCTGCGAAATAATCGACAGTCTGTCCTCGGCGGTATTTCCAAACCAATACGACTTAGTGTCCTTCAAGAAGCGAGCCTACAATTTCCTTAAAGGCCGGCAACGCATCTGTAGTTCCTTTGGTGTTGCGGATGTCCACGGGTGTCATTGACCACCTTTGTGATCCCACTGCTCGTTTGCCCCCTTCTCAAATAAAAAAAAAATCATAACAGTTGTGCGATAGTCTAGTCAAAGGTGTAAATACGCTCTTGCTATTTCTGAGAATAATCACAGATATTAAAAGTACCAAATTTTCAGGTAGTAAAATTCCAAAGAAAAATGCAGTAAAGTTTCTTAGAACGCTTTGTGTTTTTAAAAAACCCTATGAGTAATTCAACTTATGAATATTAAAATAATTTGCGTAAACAAGAACGTCATTGGAAATTTGATAGTCAGTGTTACCATGCCTATAATTTTACCATGTTTAATATTAATTACTAGATTCTTAAATCCTTTATTATCCGATAAATTAAGCTTTAAAAATATTTAAAACTGGACAATAACATACACAATAAAGTTAAGCATTAAGTTAAAATATAAAAATAGATTTTATTAAAAGAAAAAAATAATTACCTTATCAATCATCTTGCAACACCGTTAGTGATGGGATTCATTAATTTTGTCGAAATATTCAGCGATCACTGCCAAATGACTCTGATTGGACATTTGAATACATGGTGATAAATTTTCAAGCATTCGGATAAAGGCATCAAAAAGGCCTATGTCCAACAGTGGCCAAATAAAAGCTGATGATAATTTACTTCCCCATTTTACATTTAATTCCTAAAATGATGATTCAATTTTCTGGTAAAAACAGTTATTTCGCTTTTAATATTTCAAACCTACATTACAATATTTGTATATCCTTAAAACTTATAAGAATCTGAAGTGTAACTCAAACGTTGCAATCAAATACATTGGCAATAATTTAAGGTTATATTCATTATGAATATTAAATATACAGGCACATCACTATTCCCAATACGTAGCCAAATGTCAATGACATTTGAGGAAATGTTGCTTGCTTGCATGTCGGGCGAGTTGAGTGGTCGCGGTGAAATAAAATGATTGTGTAGTCGCCAAGTCCGTTAATTGGCTCGAGACTCTAGTCTGCGCTGGCCAGCACACAATCTCCGGAACGCGACCCTAAAACAAGTTATTTTACACAAGAAAAACTCAACAAAGTGTTAATGAATAATTAAACAGCCTTCAAAAAGTACAAACGTGTGTACAAAGGCTTAATAAAATATTTAAACATTATCTTTCCTGTTTAAAAGTAATTATAAATTAAACATTCGAGATGGTGATTGAGAAAATTTGCTGTCTCGGTGCTGGCTACGTGGGAGGGCCGACATGCAGTGTTATAGCATTGAAATGCCCAAACATAAAGGTAACCGTCTGCGACAAGAGTATGGAACGCATCAACCAGTGGAATTCTGATAAATTACCTATCTACGAGCCTGGATTAGACGATGTCGTCAAACAATGTCGAGGTAAAAATTTATTTTTCTCCACGGATATCGCGAAAAGTATTCAAGAAGCTGATTTAATTTTCATCTCTGTTAATACTCCGACAAAAACCTTCGGCAATGGTAAAGGGAGAGCCGCAGACTTGAAGTACATCGAAGGTGCTGCGAGAATGATAGCAGATTTGGCCACCAGTAACAAAATTGTGGTAGAAAAGAGCACCGTTCCAGTCAAAGCAGCTGAAATTATAATGAAAATACTCCGTGCAAATACCAAACCTGGAGTAGAGTATCAAATTTTGTCTAATCCTGAATTCTTAGCTGAAGGTACAGCTATAGTAGACCTTGTTGAAGCTGATAGGGTGCTTATAGGTGGAGAGGATACACCTGAAGGTCAGAAAGCTGTTCAAGAACTTTGCTGGGTGTACGAACACTGGATTCCAGCTAAAAACATCTTAACAACTAACACTTGGAGTTCCGAGCTATCTAAGCTTGCAGCAAACGCTTTCCTTGCACAAAGAATATCTAGTATTAACTCATTATCAGCAGTATGCGAGGCTACAGGTGCTGATGTGTCCGAAGTTGCTCGAGCAGTAGGTAGAGATTCCCGTATCGGTCCTAAATTCTTAGAAGCCTCTATCGGTTTCGGAGGCAGCTGTTTCCAGAAAGACATATTGAATTTAATATATCTCTGTGAATGTTTGAATTTACCTGAAGTTGCAGCGTATTGGCAGCAGGTTGTTAGTTTAAACGACTACCAGAAGACGAGGTTCACTCGTAAAGTTATAGAATCTTTATTCAACACAGTTACGGACAAGAAGATCGCTATACTGGGTTTCTCTTTTAAGAAGAATACTGGTGATACTCGGGAGTCACCAGCTATCTATGTTTGTAAGACCTTACTAGATGAAGGAGCAAAACTACATATATATGACCCGAAAGTAGAGACTGATCAAATTTACTATGAGTTAACAACACCTTATGTAACAAATGAGCCAGAGATTGTCCGTAAAAACATAGAAATACACAATACTGCTTATTCCGCAGTAGCCGGAGCTCATGCTTTAGTACTCTGCACTGAATGGGATGAATTTAAAGTCTTAGATTACAAAAAGATATATGAAGTGATGATGAAGCCAGCATATATTTTCGATGGAAGGAAGATCTTAGACCATGAGCAGCTGATAAACATTGGTTTCCATGTCCAGACTATAGGGAAGCGGTTATCGAGAACTGGAAGCATCAGAGCACAAGGAAGCCAGACTTTGCCGTAAAATGTAAGTTGATAATTTTAATGTTTATTTGTCTATAAGATTTTTTTAAGTTCCAATTAAGTAAAAACTGAACTCTGCTTCAATATAATTTGACATGGTGTATTTTAGGATTTTTTGTCCCATGTTTTTAGTTTTTTAAATTTTTTTTTATATTCTATATTTCTAAAAGGAAACTTAAAAAAGATATTAATAGTGATTAGTAAATCATAGCTATCAAATCGAAAAGACTTTTTTTCCAAAAAAAATTTTTTTTTCTTTTAATTTTTTTTACAATTTTTTTACTGGTTTGGTGAATACATAGGTTGTAAAAAAAATCAAGTTATAAGCATAACTAAAAGCTATTAAATGGGTTTTTTTTATGATTGTATTCACAATTTACCATACATTTATCAAAGGCTTACCTGATAAGAGTGCAGGCTGTATGTTTGAAATATTATTTAAACACAAAAATATATGAACAATTTATTTCTTCTAGAATAGTCCTTGTCTTGATGAGATAAGAATCTGTTTAATTAGGAATTAATAAAAAAAACTTTAAAAGGGATGAATTTAAACTTTTATATGGTTAATTTTTGTGATGTTGGCTACTCTTAAATCTTACTTCTAACTTCTTACTAATATTATAAATGCGAAAGTTTAGGTGGATGGATGGATAGATGGATGGATGTTTGTTAGCGTTTGTAGCCTAAACGGCTGAACGGATCTCCTTGAAATTTGGCACAGGTTTAGAGCATAGTCTGGAAGAACACATAGGCTACTTTTTATCCCGGGAATAGTTACGGTTCACGTAGGATTCGTTAATTTAGTTTTTTAATGTTTACTCGATTATTCTGCAACGATTCAACATATCTTATTGAAATTTGGCACAGATATAAAACAAAGTCTGGAGTACACATGGGATAAGCTTCATCCCCGAGACATGTCCGGTTCCCGAGGGATACGTAGTTTTTTGTAATTTATGTAGTTCGTATGTTTTCTAATACCACACGGACGAAGTCGCGGGCAGCAGCTCGTAATAATATAAATGCGAAAGTTTAGATAGATGTTTGTTAGAGTTTGTAGCCTAAACGGCTGAACGGATGTCGATGTAATTTGGTATAGATGTAGAGGATAGTCTGGAAGAACACATAGGCTACTCACTTTTTATTTCACGCGGACGGAGTCGCGGGCGAAAGCTAGTAAATATTTGTTGCTACAAAACCTCAGTCTAATTAATAGTTAAAGAATAAAGGGGAATATATTTTTCTTTGAGTTTTGTTAGTGTAACGTACATTTAAAAGGTTACGGGGTCAACGTTACACAAACGTAGTCTGGGCGAAAGTTACCGTTGGGTAATAGACGAATTATGTATATTATTACTTGAAAAATTTAATGACGGATTAGAGAAATAATTCGGAAAATGTATAATAGAGTTCGTTATTTAGATTTTTTGCGGTTAATTTTGAATATACATTTTCCAAATATTAACAAAAAATGTCCAATAATTCGAATAAAAAGAAAGATTTTTATAGTAACATTTGTATGCAATATGTGATTTTTTATTTATAAAAAAATCATACGCCTTATTCTATACTAAGTTGTTGCTCGCGACTTTGTCCATGTGAAATTAAAAATTGTAAATAGCCTATGTTACTCAGCGACTTTTAATGGTGAAAGAATTTTTGAAATCAACCCAATAGTTTTTGAGTTATTTCAATACATACAAAAATACAAATCTTTTCATTATAATTGGTAAAAATACAGATATAGACGGAAATAGAAAAACGTAACGTATAGTTTTATACAGCTTTAAACACTAATGTTGCCTAAGTTATATAATTTTTTTTAAAGATTTTGGGTGTTAAAACTTAAAAAGACCATTTGATTTTAGCAATCTAACGATGATTCAGAACTGGCCGTATTTAATTTATTTTTAAAATACCTTGCCTGTTTGTATTTTTTTAATTCAATACCTCGCACTGGCCAGTACGTAGTAATGACAGTTTTTTTTTTAAATAAACAATTCGCAATCGTAAGAGGTAATTTGAATTAAGAACAGTTTCAAATGCCGTTAGAATCTATTTGGAACGCAGATAGAATACGTTTTATAATAGAACTAATTTTGCATACACGTCTCCTGATTCCTTTGCCGTTTTGTTTTTTTTTTATATTTTTTTAAATGAGCAACGGTCGCAAGCTTCGTGTTCGTTTTTGTAACGCACATGTGTTTCTTTTTGTCGATGTTTTAAATTATTCTTAGAATTGTGTATAAAAACTGCATTCGAACCAGAGTCATTTGTTACCAGAACCGGTTTAAAGATTTTGCAATCGGAAGACGCGTTTCAAATTCGCCGATTCAAAGACAATCTGGCTTATTTTTTACTGTGGTAATGTGGGAAAAAAATGTTCCCGCGAAACATAGACATTATCATATCGTAACTCAATATTTCCTTAACCAATATTGACGATTCCCATAATACTAATAAGTTCAACAATACTAATCTGTACTATTATAATAAAGCGTAAACACACACTTCTTTGTTGCCTAAGATGTCAGCAATTACAGCATATTTTTGAATAATCCTTTTCTTAATAAAAAGCCCTACACTTACGTCACGCTTTACGCTATATGTTTTCATGCCATTAGACTTAGTGGGGTAAATATTTTGTATAAAAACCCTAATGTTGGAAAGAGACCATAAGTTGCTGCTAACATCAAGGAAGCAAGGTTGTCATCATGTCATGTCATTTTGACATTTGTAATTGATAATTTGACAAATGTAAACAATCAAATAAAATGTTCATAATTTCATGCGGATGAAGTCGCGCGGGAACAGCTAGTGAGGAGTAATGAGGAATGATTTGTATTTATAACTCAAAAACTACTGGGCCGATTTTAAACATTCTTTCATCGTTAGAAAGGTAATTTATCTGTGAATAACATAGGCTGTATTTTTTATTATTTTTTTAATTTCACGCAAGTGTATATTGAAATATTTTTAAGAGGTTTTAAAAATGTCTTTTATGTGTTTAAACTAATATTTTTAGGTTTTCTTGGATTATTCAAACAAAGGCTTAAAGTGGGGTTGTTTTATTTTAAACAATTAGTTACTGTATACGTCAACGGATATTGTAACACATGGCGATAATGTATGCAAAGGCCGGGAATAGATTACATCTCGCTATGTCGGAATTCCGATACCGGTATTTATCTTATACTAGCTTTCGCCTGACTCCGTTCGCGTGGAATTGAAAAATAACAAAAGTTAATATCCTATGTTTTCTTCCAGACTATCCTCTACATCTGTACCAAATTTCATCGAAATCTGTTCAGCCGTTTAGGCTACAAACTCTAACAAACATCCATCTAAACTTTCGCATCAAAGTTTAGATGGATGGATGTTTGTTAAGAGTTTGTAGCCTAAACAGCTGAACGAATATAGATGAAATTTGGTATAAATGTAGAGGATAGTCTGGAAGAATACATAGGCCACTTGATTTTTTTTTTAATTTCGCGCGGACGTAGTGGCGGGAGAAAGCTAGTTTTTTTATAATATGAGTGTTAAAAGTTCTTCAACATCATAGTAAAACTTGTTTTATTGTATTTTTCATTATTTAAAAATAAATAAAATAAAATAGAATAAACCTTTATTGCTGTTCTTAAATTAAAGTAATATTTTAAATTTACAGTTACATGCTATCTAATACTTAGGGAGATTTCATGTGACAATCATAATTATAAATTAAAAGAAACCAAAGCTTAAGTTAAACAAACTTAAGTTGAAAAATTAAGAAAAAAAAATTAACTTAATTTTTCATTATTTATTAATATTTAAATTCAATACCATAACTAGAAGGTCGTTGTTACCTCGCTTAAAACGTGATCTGTACATATTTACTAATTAAATGAATGTATGAATCGTGACTGACATCTGACGTCACGATTCACACAGACGACCTTGGACATATGACCTTTAGAAGTTCTAAGGTTTTACGCAACTATTTGGTAGTTTAGTTAAAAGCTTTATAGTTTGTCTAAAGATAGATTAGTTTGATAAGTGACGCATAAGTATCGAGTTCAATTTGTATGAAGGCAAATGCTGAATAGACAGGTATCGTAGTGACGAAACACGCAGCGAACAATTATGAACTATCGATATTCGGTTTAAATAATTATCGAACTTAACTAAAATTATTATTTTCTTATTAACTAATTTAGAGGACAATTCTATTATTGATTATAATGTAGAGAATTTAGCGATGACAGAAAAAATAGCGAAATCCAATTCGATTACGTACAGCTGTAGTAGTAATAAACATTTATTTACTCTCATTATTTGTTATGGTCATTATTAATTTGAGAAAATAGTGTTTTTTTTTTTAAATTCATAAGTTATAACTATAAATCTATCGATTCCAACTAGTATAAGAATAAAAATCGCAAATCGATAAGATTCATGACTGATTACACAACCCATCCCTACTAAATTTGAAGTGAATTGTCAAACTAATCTAAATTATTTAGACAAAGTATAGAGCTCGCACACCTTTGAATAAACTATCGCATATTTTAAGTCACGCTTAGATTCCTATGAGCTTATATGGAAGTGAACACTACTTGATTTTTACTTGTGCAAAACAGTTAAATTGACTGCAAAACAATCGACAATCACGACACGACAAACGACAATCTATACATATAATAAAACTAGCTTTCGCAAGCGACTCCGACCGCGCGGTATTTAAAAAAAAACAAGTAGCCTATGTGTTCTTCCAGATTATCCTCTACATCTGTGCCAAGTTTCATTGAGATCCGTTCAGCAGTTTCGTCTACAAACTCTAACAAACATCCATCCATCTAAACTTTCGCATTTATAATATTAATAAAATTGGAGTGTCTGTAATATCAAAAGAAGTTTGTGGACGACAGCTCGTTAAATAATGTATTTATCTAATTATTTTAGTAGTTTCGTAAAATAACGTGTTTTATTTATTTTAACAAAACTATTCTATTAATTAAAAAA